CAACCCGGGTGGATGCTAGGGGTGCTGATAGGAGCAGACACCGCTACCATTCCCGGGAGGTTCCATATATTGGTGGGGAGCAGCACCTGCTGGAAAGCGGGTCAAGCGTCCCCGAACATTGAAATTGATTGTTTGATCTGACATGTAATTGTGAGGAGATAGAGTCGCCAGGGCTACCTATGAAGCACTGAGATGTACTGTGATATTTGACACTTAGAACTCTYACTGTAGCCYGTGTTACCTGTGTGCTTGTAAGCCTACTTTGAGCCAACTTGAAGCCTACTTGAASCCTAAATGAAGTGATGATATGATGATGTACACATTTTGTTGTGGCTAAGAAACTTGACAGGGACTCAGGGAGCAGCACCTGCAGGAAGCGGGTCCAGCGTCCCTGAACATGAAATTTGTTTGTTCGATCAGGCATGTAGTTGTGAAGAGAAACAGCCGCAGGGGCTAACTATGAAGCATCGTATGTAATGGGATGTTTGACACAAAGATCTCTTACTGTAGCCTGTGTTGCTTGCCTGCTTGACGGCCTACGTTTATTCTACTTTCAGCCTAGATAAAGTAATAGTATACACATATTATATCGTGGCTATGAAGCATCACAGGTGGGACCACCCCATTACCTGGGTTGCTTTCGTATGGTACATGTGTAGCTAGTGTGTCTGGTAAAGCTTTTACCGTATCCTCCGTTACTTGCCTACTTGACAGCTACTTGACATCCAACTTTTAGCGCCACATACTATATTAGGCTGCGGCTCTTGTATTCCGATTCTGGAGATGATTCCGGGCCGTAGCCCCTCCGTGATATAGAGCTTCCAGTTCCGATCTGTTATCTCTATCTCACTGCCCCCCTGTTCGTCCCCTTCTCTCTCCACTGGCCACCCTTGAATGGGTAGCAGTGAGGAAGCCAGACCCTTGCTGGCTTGGTGATGGAAGCGGGGGGTGTGCTGGGTGTGGTAGGTGTGTGTGTGATCTGTGTGGGGTAGGGGGGAAGGGTGAGGGGGGCAAATGGGCAAGGGAGGGGATAGATGCAGAGCACAGGGACTGGGCTCAGACTGTATCGCACCCTTAATCTTGTGTGTAACTGTAATTTTTGGCGGGAGCGAGTGTAACTGTACTTCTTTCTTCTTGGTTTTTCTCTTGTTTCCCTGCCTTCTCCCCCTCTGTCGCGCATACCTCGTCTTCCATTCTAATTGAAGTATTCATTAGTCAAACATTCAAACATGAGTTCAAATACAGATATTCAAACAAGAGTTCAAACCAAGAGAGTAGTATGCAAAAACAAACTACTCAGAAGACGAGACAAAGACAAAGAACCGAGCGCAGGTATATTCGAAAGATAGACATGGAAGTCCAGCGATGTCCAGGGGCGCTACCGCTACCTGGCGTAGGATGGAAATGGACTACGGAAAAACTACCTAATATACTATACTATCCTAGTCGTACCCACAACCCAGGGTATCTCGAAGGTCATCGAGTGAACCAGAAAAACCCGTAGCCAAAGTCTAACTTCCTACCTTGCACAAAACAGTCCAGGTACTACCTGCCGTAGCAGCAAATATCCAGAGTTCCTACAACCGGTTCCCCGTTCAAATCCATGGAGAAAAACAGGCACTACTGAAAGTCATTACCAACAGGTCGTTGGTTCAAACGCTACCTGGGACTACACTACATCCATACATAGGAAACCTGTCCAGTAATAGTTTGATCGAACCCCGAATGCCCATCGAATAATTTTGTTATCGACCAGAACGAGCTCAGTACGTCCAGCCAGTAAAACATGAAACCCAATTATCCCAGCAATTGTTCATCCGACTAGAGAAATTTCTTAAACACTGGTCAAAGTAACAATCCGGACATCCTCTAGCCTGCAGCTCCAATTTCAGCGTAAGAATGAAACAGGCCTCAACACGAGGCATCGTAGTCAAGGCCTTTGCCCTATGTAAACATGCGGTAATGACCGACAATTTCTGCTGTTTGTCCGAGTATGAAGCAAAATCCTGCAGGTTCTGGAAAATAACCCCTTGATGCAAGATACATCTTTCATTCTTGTGTGTTGCAGCACAGAGGATTCTACAGGGATCCTGAAAAACTTTAATAACACATCCTACAAAATCCCATGTATCGAGTTCACTGGTAAGCTCGAGAGTGAGATTCTTATCATAACAACACCTAAACTTGTCCAGCCTTCTAACTGCCATCATCCTAGCATACTGGGACCCTATTCGGAATTTTGAAAAAACTGACACGTCATCTACTAATCTCATCCCAAACAACAGCTTGCGTTCCCAACCTAAATGGGCCAGGAACTCATGTTCATTAAACGCACATAATAAACAAGCCAAAGCAGGGCTGAATGGTTTACCCATAGGAATCCCTACGTTCTGCTTAAGAATTACCTCCAGCGCCATAACATAAGTATTCTCAAGATCGAATCTTACCATACCCAGAAGCATGAAAAACTTAATGCATTTGAACCCAACCGGAGCATCCTTTCTATATCCTAGCATAACCCCTTTACCCTTCTTCTTAACGAAAACATCTGAGAAGCCTTTTTCCTCGAAGACGCAAATAATCCATTCCATAGCTTTAATGATAGATGTATGAGGTAATGTGGTAAACATCTCTTTAACGTCAAAACAAGAAGATACCACCTGCTCATTTGGGGAAAGCGATCGATTAAAGGAGTCTAGTCAATCCACCATATCATTAGGACATCTCATGTTAAAATGCGCTTCCTCCGACAACTTCCACAACAACTGGTTAATGAATTTTGACACAATTCGGCTAAGACCAACTAGCGGATCAGAATACGAGGGACAAATTGGTCGCCACTTACAAACATTCTTATGCTTGGGCAAACCATATGCTCGACCCAATTTACCTTGCCGCTAAAAAACCACATGCTGCTGAAAACCAGAGACTGACAAATTCTGCTGCATGTTACACATCACTTCAGATTCCTCACTTTCAACGACTACAAATCCTGTGTTCTTGGGAAACTGAGTTTCCATTCTCCTCTTGAAGACTGAAGGACAACACACATACAAATCCCCTAAATTATGATCAATGGGGCATACCACAAAACCCTCAATTCTCTTCTTAATATCCCGTACACAAACCAACCCACTTTCTGCCAATACCCCTGACCCCGATCGACAATTAAAACACCCAGTCAGCTCTTCGTCAGAGATGGAAAAAATACCAGTATCGTTTTGAATAGTACCCAACCCTTCAAGAATACACTGACGCAAGGAAGGCTTATTCCGTTGAAAGCCAGGAAACAGGATATTCTTACTGTTTTTAGCAAAGTCAGGCACCCAATCAACGTCACTAAATCTGAAGGAAATATGGCCCTCTGTTTTCGGTAAATTCGATCACTAACAGTTACACAATAGAGTTTTCTGTCGGGCCAATACTCTAAAATTGTGGAGTACATCGCCAACAGACTTATTCTTACACCAAACAATTCTCAGCTTCCTACAAATAAGCCTCGTCAACGCATCTCGAATAGACGACCGTCGAGCCACAGACAAACACACATCACACACTCGTTTCTTTGACAGAGTAGCATCAAACGGAATCCTAACTGTAGCTTTAATCCTAATCCTAATGGAAAACTTATTTTTTATTACACGCGCTAAAATCGCTCTAAGTTTGGCCCAACTCTCCTTCTTCACAAAACACCGAACACAGCTGTAGAGGAACACCAGCCTATCAACCGGCTCAGAATATAACTTCCTGCAGGTAGGAGGGCAGCTCAGTAATTTTGACAGAAGACTCTTTTGTTTCTCGAATCGTGAGCAAAACCTCGTAACGGTTTCGAAAAACAGAACGACCCCTGAAACTAGAGACTTTCTACAACGTTTAAGGAGCTCGATTCTCTCACCAATACAAACTACTGAAGAACCGTAGCAACGTTTCAGAATCTTCCATTTTTCAGTCAGCAGATTGCCACCCGTACATTCTACCGTTACCTTCCAAACTCCTTGCTGAAAACATCAATCAAGCAAGCACCGAAGGCTATTAAAAACGAATCCATCATCTAATCGGAAAAGAACAAATGCGCCTTGTACCGTTTTAACAGTAGGCACCACCACACCACCACTCTTCCTTCTTCGTAATCTCTCATGCTTGCCTGGTCTCTTCGCTCTCCTCTCTCGCCTTCTTCCCCCAGTAGATATGAAATTCAGGAAAGGGTTGAACACTCGAATGAAGTACGACTCGATCGATAACAACTGACTAGGGGTGGAAACCACTATAGGGATTGCAACATATCCACTCGTTCTTTCCCGTCTCAACCATCGATACAATCGATGGTTTCTCGCGGTGCTACCGTGCACAGAATTCAGTCGATACAAGTGTTCCTTTCACCTCAAACCCAAGGTTCGCGATGTACAACCTACATACATATGTTTGCACCATGGTGAGACTAACACATCAATAAGCGGACCAGGATAAGTCACGAAATCATAACCAATCGAGAATAAATACCACAAAAATGGAATCAACTTTATACACCTGGGAATCTGCCGAAGGAGAACAAGATAGATGACCGCAATACGAAAAACGCCATCAATCCTATAATCTCGCTGCAGCACCACATAATCCCGTGCATCCCTACAAGCTAGAGCTAAATCGCGTAGATCACCAACGCTCGGTGACAGACCCTAGCAGTTGGCAGTTGCATCATCTTCTTCCTCACTACGATCACTACTACCGACCAAGACATTAGAGGATCCCAAGTTTTCGACCCATGATCATCTTTACTTACCTTTCCGAAGGCTCGATCAGCATAGACCTCAGCAATGTCCGCTGTCGATTCTCTGATTGTCACATAGCTTAGTGATTCCTCCGCACATAGCAACTCAATTTCCTTCTTCTTCAACTTCGATAGTTCAGCACACACACGCTTGCCGAAATCATCACGTGTTTCATCTTTGAGCTTAACAAATTTCACTCCACCACGACCTTTACTGCCACTACCTCCAGCTTTCGTCGGGCTACTTGCCTTCGTCAGCCTAATACGTAGATTGGAAGGTGGGGAGATACTCTTTCGCGTGACTCTTTTCCTCTTGACGCTAGTGGGAGTTCTCATTGAGGCGCCGATCCTGTTGATTCTTTCCTTGACAGTAAGAACCTCCCTTTCCGCCAAGTCCTTATCATCCCTTACCTTTCTATATGCATCAGGCAGTTTAGCATAATCTCCCGCCGTAAGGGTACAAACAGCCTTCCCCTTCTCTCTCACAACCACCGGTACCGCCGCCGAGGCAGATCCACACGTCTTGGTGATTCTCACAAGCTCGCCCACCTGTTCCTTCAAACTGATGATGTCCTGGATTAAGTGCTGATTATCCAGCCGAAGAGCATTCAATTCTTGATCATGCTGCACGCCCTGCGATTGGCAGGACAATCTCTGCATATCCGCAATAGTTCTCTTCAACTTAGCAATCTCTTCATCCTTGGTGCGTATGGATTCCATCTCTGCGATCTTCTTGCCTTTCGCATCAATGTCAATTGCACGCCTCCGAATTTCAGTTGTTACAGACACAACCGGTTGCTTCCCTTGTCCTACCTTCCTCCCAAGCACTTCTTCACAAACAACACGCATTTGCGCCTCAACTGCCTTCCCAATACTGGCTTTGAACTCCTCCTTGTCTTTCTGATCAGCAACACGCTTTTCTTCTTCTTCTTTACTCTTCTTCTCTTCCTCCTCCTTCCTCTTAATCTCCTCCTTTTCCTTTTTGATCCTTTGTCTTTCTTCAATTTCCTCCGTCATCCAACTCCACATCCTCTCCACTTTGCTGTTTGCATCGTCCGGGTACCATGGCCGACGATAACCGCCATATCCGCCAGAACCTCCATAGGACCCGCCGTAGCCTCCAGCGTATCCACCTCCACTACTTTCAGAACCTCGATCATTTCGAACATCGCTGGATGGAGCCTGATACGGGACCATAGCCCTCTGGGCTGAAGGAATTTCGGACCACGAGGCTTGGTTACCACCACCGAGTCTTGATCGTTGCTCCATATCTCTCATTCGGGTCCGACAATCTCGTATGAAATGACCAGGCCGCTGACAATAATGACAGACCGGTCTATCCATGGTGCAAAGCTACTTACGAGTCTGCGAAATAAATGGCAGAATACAAACAGATAGAATAGATGATAGATAGAAGATGATAGGTAGGTAGGTAAGTAGGTAGGTAGGTAGTAGATCGCACTCACACATCTGTAATATAATCTCCACGACGGTTCATGCGTGAACTAATGAAGTATTCATTAGTCAAATATTCAAACACGAGTTCAAATACAGATATTCAAACAAGAGTTCAAACCAAGAGAGTAGTATGCAAAAACAAAAAACTCAGAAGACAAGACAAAGACAAAGAACCGAGCGCAGGTATATTCGAAAGATAGACATGGAAGTCCAGCGATGTCGAGGGGCGCTACCGCTACCTTGCGCAGGATGGAAATGGACTACGAAAAAACTACCTAATATACTATACTATCCTAGTCGTACCCACAACCCAGGGTATCTCGAAGGTCCTCGAGTGGACCAGAAAAACCCGTAGCCAAAGTCTAACTTCCTACCTTCCACAAAACAGTCTTGGTACTACCTGCCGTAGCAGCAAATATCCTGAGTTCTTACAACCGGTTCCCCGTTCAAATCCATGGAGAAAAACAGGCACTACTGAAAGTCATTACCAACAGGTCGTTGGTTCAAACGCTATTTGGGACTACACTACATCCGTACATAAGAAACCTGTCCAGTGATAGTAGGATCGAACCCCGAATGCCCATCGAATAATTCTAATTGGCCTAAGCAACGGCATGACCGGATCGATGCGTGGAGTGTGGCTACGTCCTCCACGCCGCCGCCTGGCCATGCAGACGTAGGCACTTCCTTCCTTCCCCTTCCTTTCTTCTACTTTAGCATAATCCCGGGTTTCTCGTGCAAGCATGCATGCTATAAATTTCGCAAGCGTGATTAGTTGTCTCTCTCTGAATTCGGAAGATTAGCGTGGTCAGTGAGGATCGGCTAACGAGCAAGTTGGAAGGTGAGAAGAAGTGAGTCGGGCGATCCGACGAGCTGGTGCCGAGTAACCGGGGTTGACGTGCGAGCCACGGCGGACTGTGGCGCACGGGCGAACTTGGCTTGCGTGCTCTGGCTAAGCGGGGTGGGGACTCGGTGTTGGTGCGAGGCGACAGACTGCCCGCATCGAAAGTGATGTGGTGGAGAGAGAGAGAGAGAGAGAGAGAGAGAGAGAGAGAGAGAGAGAGAGAGAGAGAGAGAGAGAGAGAGAGAGAGCAGATGCGTGTGAGGTGGTGCCTTTTTCCAACCCTCTATATAATTTTTGATTTCAACCTTGGCCAATCTTGTTGCGACAATTTCGGATTTCCTTGCGAATCGTCCCGGATTTTTTGTTCACGGTGTGTTGTGGAATGAACTTGTGCTCTTCTCTCACCCCTCCTCAAGTAATCTTGGGATGCTAGCTTAATTCAAATTCGTAACTTTTCTATTATCCATTGTGCACTTGGGTTGGTCCTGGTTGGATACGCTAGTCGCGAATGTCGCTGATTTGCCAGCCTTCGGATCTTGTCTGAGGGATGGTGTCTTTTTCTCCCTCATCAAGGTAGTTTTGACAAAGAGCGTCAGCAATCTTTTTGCCCATGACTATCTCTGGTTTTTGTTCTTCTTGATGATTGTCAAATCTTTGCGAACTCTTCTGATTGATTGTACACATGCCATCTTTTTGGAAAAAGAAAGAACTCCAACCACGTGTGTATGACAAATTCCTCAGCGGCCCTTGTTGAATGCTTTGAGTAACAAGTGAATGATTGATTCAAATGTGTGATTGCCCTTTGATTTCCCTCCCGATGTCTGCGTTTGGACACGTGCGCTCGAATGCGTAAGTGCCATGTGTCGAGCTAGCCTGCCGACCAATCAAATAATTGCCCGACCGGAGAATAGCCAGCCGATCCAATCCGACTGACTGCGAACATGATCTTGTACACGCACGTGTAAGCGCGACCAAAAAGGGCGCTGCCTACACGCGTGCCTGCAAGACCCGCGTTCGAACCCATGTCTAAACTTGCCAATCTTCGACAGCATGGATCGCAGGACTTCCTTCCACGTCACGGATCGGCATAGTCTAAGACATCCTCGGTTCAGAGAATAATGGGAGTGGAAAAACGTCTGTCTCCTCGCGGGACCCAGACCCTACCCTCCGAAATTTCCCTTTCGGACCAGAAACGAACGAGTCTATGGGTGGGACATTGAACCGGCCTTAAACACGATCCGTTTCCCCTCTCAATTCCCCAGTTCACACGCGAGCTACATCATCGCCGAACCTGGTGTCATCATCATTGAGACAGCCTTCCCTCCCCACCGCCTCGTGTTGCCTTTTCGCTGCCTAACAGCGGCCCCGTGGCACACGATTGCCCCCTATTGGCCTCAAACCCCATGCTCTGAGTGTCGGCAGGACAGCGAGTACTGAGCCGCAGGGTTCGTTCGGCGAACCCGTACTGAAACCGAGCAGCAAAAGCACAGACTACGCCTGAGGCCCGCTTCGTCCGACTCTGAGGCTTGTCACGAGCGACGCCAGCAATTAATTAGGCAACACGACACCCATAGCGTTCCGCCGGTTCACCAAATCCGAGCCCGGCCTCGGCAACAAAACTCGCGGGGATGGTGATGGCATCCCCCAAGGCGTGAAAGCCAAACGCGACCCGCACTTACTATCTTGCACAATTGTCCGTAAACACTTGCCACAGGAGATTCCAGCCCCGACCTGGAACTCCACCCCCACTATCCTAAAATCCTTGGCACACCCCTTTCCTCACTTTCGGGGCCCCATCCCACTCTGATCAGGAAGTCACGCTGGGCGTGAGGTTTGGGCGTCACATACTTTCTCATGTTGCATTTGCATCAAAACTGCAAACAGACGCATGACATTGTGTGTTTGTG